GGGCCAGCAGCAGCCCCTGGCGCTGCAGGGGCGTGCGCCCGCCGCGGTGCCGGCTCGCGCGCGGGCCCCGCGCCCCGGCGCGAGCCTCCTCTCGTCACCGAGCGCGTTCCACGACTCGCAGGGTGCCTACTCGCATGCCCCCTCAAAACCCATTGCCTCCAGGGTGCCCTGGGTTTCTTGTCCTCCTCCTCCTCCTCCTCCTCCTCGTCCTCCTCCTCCTCCTCCTCCTCCTCCTCCTCCTCCTCCTCCTCGTCCTCCTCCTCCTCCTCCTCCTCCTCCTCCTCCTCCTGTCTGCTCCCTTGGAATGTAGCGTAGATCCCCCGCGGCGGACCCAGGCCATTTGCGAGCAGCTTCTTTGCGAGTAGTGGAGCGCGCTCGTCTAGTTCGTCGGCGGCGGGCGAGGGGAGGGGGGGAAGTGCGAGGGAGAAGGCCGCCTCAGAAGGCTCGGAGGTCCCCCAGCCTTCCGAGAAGTTCTCGGAGCCTTCCCCGAAGACACAGAGGGCTTCCCAGAAGGCGCGAGGGCTTCTGCGAAGTCCCGCCGCCTTCTGAGAAGGCCTTCCCCCTCTTTCGGGTTGACCCAAAAGGGGTCCAGCGACAAGGGGGTGTTGCAATAGATCTGGCGTGGGGTTGCAATGCATTTGGGGCGTGCAATACGGCGCAAACGTATTGGTGGAGTTTCGCGTGCCATATGACTTGCAATACAATGCAGTACAATTCTCCGGCGCAGTACGTTTGCAATACACCTGCCCCAACTCTATTGCACCACCCCGGACCGAGCGCGTTCCACTACTCGCAAAGTGCCTACTCGCAAGCGTCCGAACAAAAAAAACATGTCCGATTGAATGTAATATATCCTAGATCCTCCGCGGAGGATCCAGGCCATTTGCGAGTAGTTACTTTGCGAGTAGGGCAACGCGCTCGTCTAACCCCCTTTCAGCTGGACCCCCTTTTGGGTCACCCAAATTCTCACTTGCCATACACCTGCCCCAAATCTATTGCGCCACCCCCTTTCAGTTGAACCCCCTTGCGGGTGTTGCTGGCCCTTTCGCACCGTTTTGGAGCCACTGGCCCTCTGGGCCCCGCGAGGGGTGCTCCGGAGGCCGCCTGCGCCACCCCGAGAATCCCAGGGGCGCCTTGGGCCAGGATTACTTCTAGCAACACCCGACCCTTTTGGGTCACCCCCTTTTTCAGGAGGGAAAAAACACACACAGACACAATGAACCGTCAATTCCGCAAAAAGTATGGAAAAACGGGCAGCGGGGGGGGAAGGGCACAAGCGCCCAGAAGATTTGGGGAAATGTGGAGAATCCTGCTGTTTGTGTGCATTGATTTGTGTGTCCCAGGGCCCCTTCAGGAGGAGGAGTACGAGGAGGAGGAGGAGGAGGAGGAGGAGGAGGAGGAGGAGGCGGAGGAGGAGGAGGAGGAGGAGAAGAAGGGGGGGAGGAGGAGGAGGAGGAGGAGGAGGAGGAGAGGAGGAGAGGAGGAGGAGGAGGAGGAGGAGGAGGAGGAGGAGGAGGAGGGAGGGGGAGGAGGAGGAGGAGGAGGAGGAGGAGGAGGAGAGAGAAGGAGGAGATGGAGGAGGAGGGGGAGGAGGAGGAGGAGGAGGAGGAGGAGGAGGAGGAGGAGGAGGAGGAGGAGGAGGGAGGAGGGGGAGGAGGGGAGGAGGAGGAGGGGAGGGGGAGGAGGAGGAGGAGGAGGAGGAGGAGGAGGAGGAGAGGAGGAGGAGGAGAAGGAGGACATGGAGGAGGAGGGGAGGAGAGGAGGAGGAGGAGGAGAAGAGGAGGAGGAAGGAGGAGGAGGAGGAGGAGGAGGTCTCGCGTCGTGCCCCCCTCGCTCGCCGCCGATCGGGGCGCGCTCCTTCCCCCTCGGGGGGGGGGGGCCTCTCCGTGGGGCCTGGGGCCCTGGGCGACGGGGCTCGTGTGCCCAGGACCCCCCGCCTCGGCGACCACGCTTCGATTGAATCCCCCGAGGTCCGAGGCTCCGGAAAAAAACATGTGCTCCGTTTCTTGAATAATAATAATAATAATAATGATAATAATACGAATAATAATCATAATAATAATAATGAGAAGAAGAAGAAGACTCACAATAATAATGATAATGATAATATCAATAATAGTAACAATGATAACAATAACAATATCAACAATAACAATGCGAACAATAATGATAATACTAATAAGATTGATAATAGTAATAGTGATAATAATAACAATAATAATAGTCATAGTAGTAGTAGTAGTAGTAGTAGTAGTAGTAGTAGTCGTAGTAGTGGTAGTAGTAGTAGTAGTAGTAGTAGTGATAATGATAGTAGTAGTAGTAGTAATAGTAATAATAGCAGCAACAATGATAACAACAATACTAATAACATCAACAATGATAATACTTATCATACAAATAATAAGATAAGAATAAGAATCATTACAACAATAGTAGTATAATAATAATAGTTATCATACATAAGAACAATAATAATAACAACAATGACAATAACAATAACGATAATGTTAATAATGATAATAGTCATATTAGTAATCATAATAACAATATTTATACTTGTAGCAGCCACACTAATAATATCAACAAAAATAAGAACATCAGCAAGAATAACAATTATTATACAACTTATAATAGTAATAATAATAATAGTAGTAATAATAATAGTAATAATAATCATAGTAGTAGTAATACGAATAATTATTATCATAAATGGCCGCCGGTTGTCGCTATGTTCGGCCCCTGGGGGGTCTTCGACGGGCCCCTTGGGTCGGGGGCGGCGGAGAGGGGGGTGGTGACCAGTGGGGGGTGGAGATCATGGCGGGAGCCACGATATCTCCGCAGATTTCATGGTGCCTCTTCTCATTTCAATGCGTCCCCTGCCCCCCTTCCCCCATGGGCCGCGCACATGCCTCGGGTCATGATTTGCTCACCCGCCTCTTGAACGCCCGCCTCTTGGACGCCCTCGACTAAGGAAATTTCCAGACTTCCGGGGGTCCACGCATCGGTAAAATTGGGGCGCCGAATTGTATGGGTCGGGGCCTCGTCAATCGACGGGCCCCCTGCGGAGCGAACAGAAAGGACCCCAGGAGGGGCCCAGGCTATCAATCTGACAGACTTTGATGTCTGCACGTGGGCTGATCAAACTCAGGCCCGACAGTGGAGAACTGGCAGAACGAAGAGCTGGGCCCCTGCGATGGCCTGCTGATCAAGTTGCCGGCGCGCACAGGGGGGGTGGAGGGAGGGGGAGGGCCTCTTAGAAGGAGGCTGCTTCTTAGAAGGCGCTGGCCTTACATCTACGGATAAGGCCCGCGCCTTCTAAGAAGCAGGGGTGTTTCTAACAAGCCCTCCCCCCTCCCGCTACAGTCGGCCCAGATTAGTAGGTCGACCCTGCCAAATCAAGGGTACCCTTGTGTCCTGTATCTCGCGACCCGTGCCTCCCACATTCCTGTGGCAAAGTGGCCCTCGGTAGGGTCTTGTGTCCTCTCGCGTGTCCTGTCCAATCGAGTCCGACTGTGCTCCCCTGTGTAATAGGCAAAAAATGTTCCAGGGACGATTTTTTGAGTATGTGTTTGACCATTTGGGGGCATAGTTTGAGTATTTTTTTTCATTTTGCTTCGAAAATCCCCCTGTAGGGGGGACACGCCCGACCTGACCCTGCTCCCCCCTGCGCACGGCCGGTCAAGAGCAGGCCCCCCCCGGCGGAGCTCCAGCAGCACGACGCGCCGCCCCCAGGCGAGGGCGGCGCCCCCGGCGATCGCGAGAGCAGGCCGGGCCACCTGGGGGGCCTCGGGCCGCACGAGGAGCCGGGGCTGTCTGAGGGGTGCCGGCGGCGGCTCCGCGCTGGGGCCTGCTGGGGCCTAGCCCCTCGCCGCGCTGGGGTGCGCTGCGGCCTAGCCCCTCGCCGCGCTGGGGTGCGGTGCGGCCTAACCCCTCGCCGCGCTGGGGCCTGCTGTGGCCTAACCCCTCGCCGCGCTAGGGTTCGCTGTGGCCTATAACCCAGACATGCTCGCGTCGTAAACAAAATCAGGACGAGAGGTTTTTCGTCGCTTTCGGCCTCTGGAGGCCCTCGCCGGGCGCCGGGGCCGTCAAAAAACGACGCGACGCAGGGTGAAAAGCCGGTCCCGGGAACCGGGTGGGGACTGCCGGGGACGCCGTGCTGAAAAAGTCAGGACGTCGCAGGTCTGGGTAGAAGGGGGTGTGGTGTCAATTTCGTTTGCAGGGGACCATGGCGATGCTGTTTCTCGCAGACAGCATCGCCAGTTCCACGATTGGCACCGTACCCCTTTATATGCCACACCCCTTTCCGACCTCCAGGTTCTGGCAGCACGACGGGCAGGGCCCCTGTGTGGTCGTGGCACCCGGCCAGTCAAGGTCGGGCCCGGCAGTGGGGCTCTGGCAGCACAGAAGCCCAAGGGAGTCCGAGGCCCGTGCTCCCTGCAGTTGCCGCAGCTTGGGCCCCACGGGAGGCCACGGGAGGCCCGAGCTGGCCATGGGAGCGCTGGATGATCCCGTGACGTTTGCGGGGTCAGACGGCTGCCACGGTTGCACTCAGGTGCCAGGCTGGGGCCCAGGATTGGAGCTCCTGCAGCACCAAATGTCTGGCCCGACCCACCAGCCCGGTGGCCCCAGGCCTAAGTTATCCAACAGCTTGGACCCTCTACGCCAAGCTTCCTGCCCTCCCTCCTCCCCCCCCTCCTCCTCCTCCTCCTCCTCCTCCCCCCCTCCTCCCCCTCCCCCTCCTCCTCCTCCTCCTCCTCCTCCTCCTCCTCCGCCTCCTCCTCCGCCTCCTCCCCTCCTCCTCCTCCTCCTCCTCCTCCTCCTCCTCCTCATCATCATCATCATCATCACTCCTCCTCCTCCTCCTCCTCCCTCCTCCTCCTCCTCCTCCTCCTCCTCCTTCCCTTAAGCAACGCCCAACAGATTGAGGAGAGGCGCGCTCCACTGCCCTGCCCCCCAGCCGCCAGCGGAGGGAGGAGCCCCTCTGAGCCTCTCCCGAAGAGGCGGTCCTGCAGAAGGCCACGGAGCAGTGCGAGCGCACGCAAAAGTACTTCAGCATCTCCGAGAAGGCCCGCGGGCGTTGGAGGAGCAGGGCTGCCTCTGCAGCAGGGCGGCGCCGTGCTTTGATGCTTGGGCGCTGGCTTCACGTGCATGCATTAGTCTTGCTGTCAACCGGATGGTCTGTTGAGAGCTAGCATGGCCGTGCGACAACCAAACCTTCACTGCCATGTCCAGCTAGCCGTGCACGGCCTTCGGCTGAAACGAAAAACGAGCAACGAGGGCGGCGAGAAGGCGAAAAGGTGGCGGGCGTCTTGGAGCGATCCTGGGGACCTCCTGGGCCGTCTTGGGCGGCCTCAGAACAGAATCGCCGATGATACCAAAATCGCGGAAACATTGAGGGCTAGGGGACGATCTGCGCCTCTTGGCCCGACCCCCACGACGGCCCACAGGATCCCCAAGAGGGCCTCGAAGCGGCTCCTTGAGCCCCTCCTGGGGCCATTCTGGGACGTTTGAATTCCGAGCCCACGCTCCCAGGCCTCCTGAGCCGTCGCGCGGCAAGCCCCAGGAGCGCCTGGGAGCGGGCCCGGACTCTTGAAAAATCAGCGCCAATTTTGAAAAAGGACGATTGCCATCGATTGTCATCCCGGGGGTGTATATATATATATATATATATATATGTAGATTGGAATGGAAGATTGTCAGGCGCCTCTGGACACTTCATTCGGTGCCTGAGGCACGTTGGCGTATGTTGGGTCATGTGGCACGTTTCACCAGCAGCAAGGTCGAGCTTTACGCTTGTCCAGGTCGGTCGCGCAGTTGGTCGCGTCCCCAGAGCTCCGACTTCGCGTTTTCGTCGCAACGCGGACCCGTCTCTCATCTTGAGTCCTTCTTTGACCGACCCGCGGCCCGGTGAGGTCCCCGGAGTTCGACAATGGCAAAGCAACCCTTGCCGTCGTGATTCTGTACGAAGCGACATCGTCAGAGCCCAGCCTGCCCGCCTGCAGGAGGACGAGGCAGAGGAAGAGGAAGAGGAAGAGGAAGAGGAAGGGAGGAGGGAGGAGGAGGAGGGAGGAGGGAGGAGCAGGAGGAGGAGGAGGAGGAGGAGGAGGAGGAGGAGGGGGGAGGAGGGGCGCACTTGCCACATCGTCAGAGCTCAGCCTGCCCGCCCGCACGTGGGGGGGGCGGCAGCTCTTGCGGCTGCCACGGACGCCGCGCGCACCTCGCGCGAGCGAGCCCCAGGGGCCTCCAGGACGGTGCGATGACCTCACCGTGCGGTGAGCCCTGAGATCCTGGCGTCGCATTTCTTTCGCAACGGGCGTTTCTGCCTGATTTCGGGCCCCGGGACCCTCGCAGATCGATGCGGCTCGAAAACAGGCGCAGCAAGATGGGCTCCAGGGTCCCAGTCGCGATTTTTCGAGACGCTGTTGTTGTGTTGAAGCGTCGGATGTCAGGGAGCCAGTGCGGATTCGGAGTGACCGCACAGTCGTGGGACTGGGGTCGTTTTCCAGGGATGTCTCGGGCGATTGGAGCCTCTAAGGTCCCAGAACCATACTGTGACGGACCGTGTGGTGAGGTCTTCTGGGATTTCAATGGCCGCCACAGCCACGGCCAATGCCACGGCCGCGGCCACGGCCACGGCCAAGGCCACGGCCACGCACGGCCACGGCCACGGGCACGGCCACGGCCACGGCCACGGCCACGGCCACGGCGCTCCCGTCTGAGACTTCCTCGCAATGTAATCAAGACCCCCGCTCCCGCCTGAGACTTCCGTGCAATTTACGTGGGAACGGCGCTCCCGCCTGAGACTTCTTGGGGAGATATTGTTCGCATATTCGTTCTGTGCTGGCGCTGCAACGTGCTCCACTTGGCGATTTGGCGGACACTAGCCGGCTCGTGCGAGGAGCAGAAAAGGCATGTGAACGACCGACCCGCCCCAGAGTGTGGGCCACAGCTGCCAAAACAAAAGCCTTGACCACGTGGGCGAGATCAGCAGGCTGCCAAGACATAGCATGGTCGTGGGCGGTTGCCAAGCATTTTTGCCTTTGGACGTTCCCGGGAGGCCGGCGAGGGCCCCCAGGGGTCGAAGATAGGGAAAATCGTGCCGCCCGTTTTTTTGTTTTAAGCGACGCACTGTCTGTCAGCGCGCCGTCTTCAGACGCCCAAGAAGTGGGGAGGCATTCTTGAAACAAAGCGGTGGTAGCACTAGCCGCACTAAGGGAGACATCACTCTTAGCAGCACCCCTGAGTCGCCAACGCGGGGCACTCTGGAAGCCTCTTCAAACATCTTGGAGCTCTCTTGTGGCCGTTTCGGGGGCCGTTGGGGCGTTCTTGGGGCTCTCGTGTGCCCCTCCTGGGTGCCTTCGGACCTTCTGGAGAACATTCCGGAGGCGATCAAACAGAAAAGTGGGGGCACTCAGGCTTTGAGGCCCGACAAATCGCAATCGCCTGTGGGGCCAACTTGGGACTCCCACGGGCCACTAGTGTAACTGTGTGGGGCTGTCTTGGGGCCATGCAGGGGCCCCTGGCTCTGAGGCCCTTGAGGCCACTTGCGCAGGCCAACCGAAACCGAGCATGCGAGAAGGCACTGTCCCAAAACAGTGTTTGCCCTAAGGGTTATGTTGCTCACATCGTACTTAAGGACCACATCCCAGAAATAATTCCGAGCACCCGGAGAAGTGTCGAGACAGTGTCGAGACAGTGTCGGACGAATGTCTCCCAGGGCCCGACACGTGAAAACCTTTTCGAGTCTCGGTGCTGTTTTGGTGCTCGAAGTTCTTTCTGGTGATCGCGGCTACAGTAGGTTGAAACATCGTAACCTAAAGGATCCCTTCTTCGGTGTAGAATTAAGTCGGGCGTGTCCCTCTACAGGAGGAAGATTCAAAAATAGGAGGAAAACCAAAAAAGTCGGGGGACTAGTTCTTGACTGTTTTCCCTTATTCGGGGGGTATGCTTTGAGTCTTTTCCATTTTTCACCCAAAATCCTCCCTGTAGGGGGACACGCCCGACTTAAGTGTGGAAGCGGCGCCCGGCTTCCTGGCTTGCGCCCGGTGCCCCGGCCGCGGGCGCCCTGCGGGCCCCTCGGGCGCGGGCTCGCGCTGCCAGGCGCACGCCCTGCTCGCACCGCTCGTGCGCGTTGCGCCAGGCAGGTTGCGCCCCATGGCCTGCACCTCACGCGTTGCATTCGACTGCACGACATGGGCTCTCCTCCCCAAAGAGTAGCGGGATTCAACCTTAAGTCGGGCCTGTCCCCCTGCAGGGGGATTTTCGACGAAAAATACAGAATACCCCAAAAATAATCAAAAAAAATAGTCCAAAAATAGTCTGGCGATTTTTTTTTTACCTTTTTGGGGTATTGTTGGGGTATGTTTTATTTCTCGTCGACAATAGGGGGACAGGCCCGACTTAAATTCACCCCCCCTCCAACCCCTACTCAACCGCCCATCTTGTTGCACATTGCAGTTTGGATACGATTCTGCCTCACCGTTCGTTTTCCGTTCGAAGTCAACTCATCGCAGGCGAGCCGGTATCGACGCCCTTATGCGCGCACACTCGCTTGTTTTTAAACCACAATGATTCAACAATCCCTTGCCAAACATGTCACAAAATCTTCGCACGCGCGCAATCACATTCCAAAATCACACCAAGCGCATCAGGCATGCAAGCATTTCCACCCAGAACTTGTTAAATCTCTGGCGTTATATGAAGTATTACCGATATTATTCCCCGTTGTACGTACAAACGAATGTTAGCCAGCGTGGACCCCAAACAGTGTGTTTGCAGCAATCGACGTTGTGCTATCTAGGTGGTGTTATCTATATTGTACAATCGATGTTCTGCACGATGTGTTGTGCACCCTACGTAGTGCAATATAGGGTGCACACCTCAGGTGGTGCAACCCATGCGGTTCAATATGTGCTTGGAAGCCACGTGGTGCAGCCCAAGGGGTGCAATCGATGTTCTGTCGTATATGATGTGCCGTCTATGTTGTGCAATATACGTGGTGCAATCTATGTTGTGCACGATCTGTTGTGCACCCTATGTGGTGCAGTCTAGGTTATGCATTTCAGGTGGTGCAAGCTATGCGGTTCAACATGCGTTGTGTAAGCTAAGTGAGGCAGCCGAAGTGGTGCAATCTATGTTGTGTTGTATTTGTTTTGTGATCTACGTTGTACAATCTATGTGGTGCAATGTACGTGGTGCAAAATATGTTGTGCACCCTGTGTGCTGCAATATTTGTGTTGCATTCCATGTGGTGCAAGATATGCGTTTCAATATGTGTCGTGCAACCTATGTGGTGCAGTTGCGGCTTAAGTGGTGCAACATACGTGGTACAATATATGATGTGCGCTGTATGTGCTGCGACCTATTGTATGCAATCCGTGTGGTGCAGTCTACGCGGTGCAATATATGTTGTGCAAGTTGCGTGGTGCAAAAGATGTGGTGCAATTGATCTTTACAAACGAGCTGATACATTTCACGCTATTGCAAGCATCCCACCCACCCTCCCGCAACTTGGTTTGCAAAACCCATGCAGTAACGATAGCGATGATCTGCGGCCTTGCCAACCCAAGCACGCCCGCGCAGCGGCCAGCTAGTTTGGCGCGACCGACGCGGCCGCGGTGGCGGTGACCGTTGGGCACATCCCAGCGGGCACTTCAGTGCGAGTCGGCGATTTGGGCGGGCGCGGTATCATGGCAACGTCGACAACGGTAGACACGATGATGATAGTAGCGATGCTGCTGGCGATGCTGACAACGACGACGGCGCGGCCAGTGCGGGTGCCGATGCGGATCACGCCGACGACGATGACGGCGTCCTCGCGTCGGTGATGAAGGTTTTGGAAAGAGTTAGACATGCGCGCGCGGCCGACGCGCGAGAGTGGCCCAGATGACATATTTGTTCACACGGACCGTGCCCCCCCAGCACGCGCGCAAGGGCGTGCGAATGATTTCGGCATCGGCGCCAGAGGCCCGTCTGGTAGAATTCCATGAACATGTTGAGAGAATAAAGACACAAAACAAAAAATAAGCTAGTCTGGCGAAGGACCCAACCATATGCAGTTGTGAGTACCGCAATTGTGAATATCATCTTCGGCGGCGCCCCCTTATGGGGCCACGAAGCGCTGTGCTGGGTGGATGAAACGCAAGGGGCAAGGGCCGTGTTGGGTGGTGGCGGACGCATGCGGGCGGTGCCACTGGGACCTTCCGTGGAGCTCCCTATGGGGCCACGAATCGCTGTATTGGTTGGTTGAAACGCAGGTTGCAAGGGCTGTGCTGGGTGGTGGCGGACGCATGCGGGCGGTGCCACTGGGACCTTCGGTGGGGCCCCCTATGGGGCCACGAAACGCTGTACTGCGTGGGTGAAACGCAAGGAGCCAGGGCTGTGCTGGGTGGTGGCGGACGCATGCGGGCGGTGCCACTGGGACCTTCAGTGGAGCCCCCTTTTTATGGGGCCACAAAACGCTGTACCGTGTGGGTGAAAAGAATGAACAATGGCTACACTGGGTGGTGGCGGACGCATGCGGGCGGTGCCACTGGGACCTTTTTTGTGGGGCTCCCTATGGGGCCACGAAGCGCTGTGTTGGGTGGGTGAAACGCAGGGAACAACGGCTGTGCTGGGTGGTGGCGGACGCATGCGGGCGGTGCCACTGAGACTTTCGGTGGAGCTCCCTATGGGGCCACGAAACGCTATACTGGGTGGGTGAAACGCAGGGAGCAAGAGCTGTGCTGCGTGGTGACGGACGCACGCGGGCGGTGCCACGGGGTCCTTCGGTGGAGGGGCCACGAAGCGCTGTATTGGGTGAGCGAAACGCATGGAGCAAGGGCCGTGTTGGGTGGTGGCGGACGCACGCGGGCGGTGCCGCTGGGACCTTCCGTGGAGCTCCTTATGGGGCCACGAAACGCTTCATTGGGTGGGTGAAACGCAGGGAGCAAGGGCTGTGCTGGGTGGTGGCGGACGCATGCGGGCGGTCCCGCTGGGGGCTTCGGTGGAGCTCCGTATGGGGCCACGAAACGCTGTACTGGGTGGGTGAAACGCATGGAAGAAGGAGGAGGGAGGGGAGGAGGGGGAGGAAGAGGAGAGGAGAAGAGGAACGCGGGAACCGTCTCTTCAAAACGAGGACCCAACACCACAGGATGGTTGGGAAGAACTGCGATTTGTTCAAGTATTCGCAAGAGACGGAGCGTACGCGTTTTGTTTGAAAATTGATGTTGCGAAGCCATGTGTGTCTTATATGTCTGTTGGAACCTCGGTTTTGAAATCGCTACGAAATTCCAATGTCGTTGACGGGTTTCGGCATGCGCGCGCAGTTCGTCCCATGTGTTGCAAAGGATCTCGCGATGGCACGCGCGCAAGGACGTTCGAACGATTTCGACATGCGCGCGCGAAGCCCGTTTGGTAGCATTTCGTGGGCAGAGTATATTCGTATATGGTTTTTCAAGACTTCGCAGGAGCGCGCGCGCAAGTTTTTTTGAAAACTTGTGTTGCGATAACCCTTTATTTTTACATGTTTTTGGACACTCGATTTTGAAATCGCTACGAAACCGAAGGTTTTTGAATGATTTCGGCATGCGCGCGCGACCACGCGCGCGTGCGCATGTCGTCCAATTTCTGATGCAACGGATAGTGGAAAATTGTTGGTTTTTGATAAACGAGTGCGCGCGCATAATAGTTTGTTGCAGAGGATGGCGGGAGGGGATACCGGCTCGGCTGGGATGGTACGATTTCAGATTTAGGATGGACGATGGGGCAGAATCATATGTCAATTTCAATGCGAAAAGGGGGGCGGACACTGCCGGGGGGCGTAGAGTTCATGTTTAAAAGAACGGAAAATATTAGGTGGCGACGAGGCGGCGACGGGGTGGCCGGCGCAGAACCGCCGGACCGATGCTCAAGCCCAGGCGGCGGGCGGCGACGGGGCGGCGACGGCCAGCACGGAGCCGCCAGACCGAGACACAGGCCCAGTTCTGCAGACCAGAAGTAAGAATCCCGAAGTGCAAGCATCGTTTGGGAAAACAGGAGTTTGGAAATCTCGTCCGGTAATTACCCGCATGTGCGTCCGCGACGGTCTGGCATGCGCCCAGTGCGCTAGTCCATATCGAGTAACACCATGCGGGCCACATGCGCGCGCCGCCACGCGCGCGTGTCGAAAACCGTCCAAAACAAGTGCTTGGCATCGCTCGGACTTGTGCATGTTTCCTCCGGCGAGGACCATCGAGGAGCATCCTTGATCATTTGGGGAAAAAAACACGCACGAAACCTAAAAAAACACAGGGAACGGACGTCCGAGCGATGCCCAGAGTGTTTCCCGAAATACGTCAGAATAAAGCGTTTGAAACCATACGTATGAACAACCAAGTGCTTTTCCCCCCCCCCAACAGTTTGCCAGTGTCGTGGAATGTCTGATCGCGCGCACTTCCTCATCACCCTCATCCGCGTCATCGCACCTGTTTCATCGTCAACCGCCGTCATGGCTGCCATCATCAGCACAATCACCTTCACAGTTGACATATCATGGGCATCATCATCGTCATCGTCGTCACCTGCATCGGCGCCGTCATTGGCCTTGCCGTCGTCGTCGTCACCACTGCCACCACCATCGTTACTACCATCACCGCTACTGCCGTTGTCGATGTCATCATGATATCCCGCCCGACCGAGTCACTGATCCGCACTCGCGGCGCGCCAGCACGGCCTCTGAGACGCGCTGGGAAATTCCCATCAGTGAGCGCCATCGCGGCCGCATCAACTGGGGCAAACACACTACATAGTCGATCTGCGCGCGAGCGTGCGCGCTCCAATGCGGCAACCGCAAACGTGGCCGAATGGGCTTTGCCAAACAAGTTGCGGGTGTGTAGGTGGGATGTTTGCACGAGCACACACAGTGACGACTTCAAGACGGTCGAAGTTACACCACGCAGATTGCGCCGCACAGCTTGCACCACATACATCTTGCACCACGTGGACTGCACCGCATATGTTGCACACCACAGCTTGCGCCTCGTCTATTGCATCCCGCAGCTTGCACCTCATAGCCTGCACCGCATGGTTTGCGCCACACAGGTTGCGCCACAATGACTGCACCACATAGCGTGCACAGCGAGAGCGCAAGAGCCCAGCGTTTGGGGTCCACGCTGGGAAACGCAAGTTTGAAAGTGTTTAAGTGAGCTTCGGTGGTTCGGGGGCCACCCCAGAACCACCATGGGGCCGTCCTGGCGCAACTCGCACGGACCCCCACTGGGCCCAGTGGGGCATGGTGAGCCGTTTCGGGAGTCCGGGAAGCCCGAGAGGCGCACTGAGAAGATCTTGGGGCACCCTTGGCTCTCACGGGGTGTTGGACCACCTGGGAGGGGCAACAGGGAGAGGACAGTCAAATACATGATGCCGGAGAAACGCCCCAATCAGGGCTATAGGGTTAGGGGGCTATAGGGCTATAGGGCTGTAGAGCTATAGGGCTATAGAGTTGTAGGGCCATAGGGCTATTGGGCTATAGGGCACCCCCGGGCACGCCCGGGCACCCGGGCACGCCCCGGGCACCCAGGCAGCCCTGGGCACCCGGGCACCCGGGCGTGCGGCGAAAATCGGCGGCAAACCTAACCTAACCATATGAATCCGCTAGGACCCCTACAGAGGCAAGCTCTGATTGGGGAACCACAGGCCGGCGGACGTGCACCGATTCCTGAGGCCACCAACGCCACTTGGGTTGACAGCGTTGTTCAGTCTGTTGTGCTCCAGCCGTTTGGCCGTACTCCGACACGACGTCAGGCTGCGGCGGTGGCTGCCCGACACGAGCTGCTACCAGGAAGCTGGATAGGCATGTCGCTGCTGGCTCGGGCGAGAGCTGGATGCACATGTGGCCGCATGGTTTTCCAGCGCCCCGCCCTCGCATGGCCAGGCGCGCTGGCCCTCCCATGCTTGTCCAGCAAGTGGCCTCTCATCATATCCCGCCCCTCGGAATCCAATCTCGCGTGTCTACGTGCGCACGTGTGCTCCAGCTGCCCGGTACACATCCCCAACCCAGACTCGAGCCCCAGTGCTAGGCCAAGCCAAGACCCCGACATCTGACGAGACATCCGATGTCTTCAACGCGCGGCCCCAGAGGTCTCGACCCATTCACTGGGTTGCCGTCTCTCCTTCCGGATCCATCGTTGATCGCCTTGGGACCCGATCATCCGGTTTCGAGTGCCTTGGGACCCGATCATCCAGTTTCGAGCAAAAGCCGCCAGGGTTGAGAAAACAGATCGTCGGAGACTGGGATGTTCGGGCCATGCCCCAGGCCTCGGGCGCCCGTTCGGGACGATTCCGGCACCCCGGAACGCTCTCGGCGGGGCACAGCTGCTGGAAAGCATCCCAAGGCGATATAGAACCTCCGGGAGCCCACGAGAAGTTGCGAAGCCTCCGCAAGATCGTGTCGTCGGAGGTCTGGGACTGCGCCCCCGGCTGGAATCGCGGCGGCCTGCCAAGGTAGGAGGGGGGGGGAAAGCGCCCCCGAGGCAGCGGCGAACCTGCCGCCGTGCGAGCAGTTCTTCGGCCACATCGCCGCCTTCCTGGACCAGCTGTCGGCGGCGTGGCTGGACATCTCGGGCAGTGCCAGGGGGGGGTGCCACTGGGGGGCCACCACCTCCCCGAGGAGGTCGAGGGCCGAAGATGAGGGAGGACCGAGGATCGAGGAGGTCCGTCTGGAGGAGCAGCGAGGAGGATCGAGGATCGAGGGGGCATCGAGGAGCTCGAGGAGGATCGAGAAGGATCGAAGAGCATCGAGCATCGAGGAGCTCGAGGAGGTCCGGGAAGGTCCGTGGCCTCGTGGAGGCGGCGACCCTGCCAGTGGCGGCCCCCCTCTGGCGTGGCCCGGGCGTCGAGAAGAACCCCGCGAAGTGGCAGCAGTTCGGCGTCACGGCACCGGACAGAGGCGGCGCGCCGGGTGCCATGGGGGTGGCCGTCGGGCAGGCTGTGGCTGCAGGCTCGCGCGGCTCCAGGGCGCTCCGGGGAACGCTCCGAGAGCGCTCCGGGGCGCCTCGGGTCGGCGGCCGCGCCGAGGCATCTCCTCCTCCTCCTCCTCCTCCTCCTCCTCCTCCTCCTGCTCCTGCTCCTCCTCCTCCTCCTCCTCCTCCTCCTCCTCCTCCTCCTCCTCCTCCTCCTCCGCCTCAGCGATTCCCGAAGCATCTCTTCAACTCGGAGATGTCTGGAAATCCTGCTGTCCACCGAGCCTGCCGGATCTGGTGCGCGACCCGCCCGGCCCGGACGAGGTTCGCGCAGCTGGAAGCAGGGGTGTGCGAGCTGAGGAGCGGCAGAGGCCTTTTTGAAGCCGCAGCTGCGCGGTGTGCGGGTCGGCTCGCGGGGGCGACGCTCGGCTTGATCTCCGGGGCTGCGCCCTCGAGCCACCCTTCATGAGCCCAGCCTCCGGAGGAGACACGTGGTGAGGAGCGAAGCGAACGGGGCCCTCCCCTGAATCTGCTTTCGCTGTCTCGACCTGCCTGTGGGGGGTGAGACGAACAGTGGCCCGAAGCAGTGAGCGAATCGTCACCGATCAGTTCGGCTTGCAGGGTCTCCCGAGTCCCGCTAGGCCTGTTGCACCAGACACCGACGCCCGAAGCGATACGCTTGGGCTGTGGGCCCACAGCAGCTTTCCGAGAGTGTAGTGCGTAGTACTTCCTGGGGCGGCGTGGGTCCGTGTGATCGCGGGCGTTGTCTCTCAGAGAGGGGCCCGGTGTCCAGAAGGCGAGAGTTGCAATTCGCAGAAGATCGTCAGTCCAGGGTGTGGCGTTGCTCCTCGAGCACACAGCACAACGTGCCAGGTATATGCGGAGCAGTTTCTTGCTCAGCATCGTGCTCGATGTCGCCCGCGCACCCCCCTTGGGAGACCTCTGGAGTTCCCCCATCGAGCCGGCCGCCCCAGTTCTCAGACTGAGCTCATTCATGGAGTCCGCTGCTTGACTCTTGTGCACCTCCTAGGGTTCCATGGCGATCTGGCGACGACTGTGCGGTGCGGCCCGCTCTCTGCTCGCGGCGAGGCCTCTCTGCCGCCACTGGGCTGGCACGCAGAGGACCTCGTGTGCGCCCTGCCCAGAGCTCCGACGTTGCCTATGTTGCTCGCAGCGTTGACGCCGAGAGGTACGGACCACTTCCCCGGAGCCGTTTTTTCATCCCAAGTCGTTCTCTGACGCTCCTGGGACTCGGCTTCAGTCAGGCCTGTCCCCCTACCGACGAAAAATAACGAATACTCCAAAGTGACAAAAAGTATTCAAAACATAGTCCCCAGACTATTTCTGGATTCTTTTCGGATTATGTTTGGAGTATGCTTTATTTTTCGTCGAAAATCCCTCTGTAGGGGGACAGGCCCGACTTAAGACTCGGCGAGGGCCCCCAGATGCCGGAAACGGCCCAGCATCTGGCGTCATTCCATGCGCGGCGAGAGGAGGTCTGACTCTCGGGCCATAGCTCGTGCCTGCGGCGGCCGCTCGGGACGGTCCGGGCACTCCCCGAAGGCTCTCGGCGCGGCGCGGCTGCTGGAGAGCACCCCGAGGCAGGACAACTTCCAGGAGGGGGAAAAACACACAGACACAATTTATCGTCGACTCCCCCGAAGATATGGGGAACTATGGGAAGTGGGGGGGAAGACGAAAGCCCAGAAAGTGTGGGAAAATACGGGGGATCCTGTTATTTGTGTCTACTTATTTAATCGCTTCGCTCATGCCGCCGGCCCTGGAGCCCTCTTTAGGGCCTCTTGGGGGCCTCTTGGGGACCTCTTGGGAGTCTCTTGGGGCTCCTTGGCGGCGTTTTAGAGGCCCCCAGGGCCTCTTGGGGGGCTCTTGGGGGTAGTCGATTGCGGCTCCCCCCTCGGAGGCCACGATCCTCGTGAGGGGTGTCGAAAAATACCCTCCCCTGGAGTGGTCTGGTGGCTTCTCCCGGGCTTCTCTCGGGACCTTGCCGGGGTACTTTTCGTCCGGGGGCCCCCAGGGGCCGCTCCGCGCGCGCGAACTAGAAATATTGTTAACAAGTTACCGGAGATCTTAGCACGCCTCTGGCCCGTTGGGCCGGCGAATTTGTGTGTCCCAGGGCCCCTTCAAACTTCCAGGAGCCCAAGAAAACGCCTCAAGATAGCACGCCCCTCGAGCCTCTGGCCGCCCCCCTTCTCCCAGGCGCGGGCACTCTGAACGGCACGGCCCGAGAGCTTCGCTCTCTCCGCGCACCGGCCAGGGCTCGGCGAGGCGCCAGCGCTGGAGAGCATCCAGAGGCCAGAGAAAATTCTTCGGGGTACCGACCCAGACAGGATCGCGTCGTACAAAAAAAAGGACGGGAGGTTCTTGGCTGTGTTTTCGGCCTCTGGAGGCCGTCGCCGGTCCTCGGGGCCGTCAGGAAACGGCCCAGGACGAAACACCGGCCCCGGGGCAAGGGTCGGGACTTGCGGGGACGCCGCCCTGAGAGCATCGGGACGTCGCACATGCCTGGGGGCACGGCGCCCGAAAACCGCGGCGCTCCCCCGCGCCGGCGCCGGTGCCGCCGGGGCGACGGGCGGGCGGAAGGACGGGGGCAGCGTCAAAGGGAGACAAGTCGGCTCAGGGGGGGCCGCATGATGCCCCCAAGCGCACAGTCATCGCCGACCCGGGCCCGAGGTGGGCCGCCCCGCCTGGGAGGGGGTGCGGCTTCGCTATGGGGCGCCAGTCCCCGACCTATCATTGATGTGTCGCCGAGTCCAGGTCGACGATCCCCCCCTGCCCATCGCTCCGACCCAGAGATCCAACGTATTGAAAAAATCACGACGGAGGTTTTTCTCAGTTTTCGGCCTCTAGCGGCCCTCGCCGGGCCCCGGGACTGTCAAAAAACGACTCAGGATGAAAAACCGGTCCTGGGGAATGGGTCGAGACTTCCGGGGACCCCGTATTGAAAAAATCACGACATCGGATCTCTGGGGACACGGTGATCCTGTCACAACGTGGGCCCCTGGAGACCTGGACCCCTTCACCCGGGCCTGGCTTCTCATCCTGTGCCCCGCGAGGGTCCCTGGAGGCCGGCGACCGCCAAAAGCCGCCCGTCGTGGTTTTTGTTTCGCGACGGGAGGAGGTGGGGGTGAGCAAGTCCCCCCTGATCGTTCCCTCTCACCCGCTCGCCTGGCGGCACCGATCGAGGCTTGAAGGTCGAGGGCCGAGGATCGAGGTTCGAGGTTCGAGTACCGAGGATCGAGGTTCCAAGATCGCGGATCCAGGACCAAGGATCCAGGACCCAGGACACAGGACACAGGACCCAGGATCCAGGATCCAGGAGATCCAGGATCCTGACGATGATTGTTCCCGTGGGGAGACGTTGTGGTGGCGAGCCGAGGAGCACTCTCCCGTCCTGCCTTCTCCTCCCTCCTCCTCTTCCGTTCCCCCTCCTCCTCCCCTTACGCCAGCCATCATCAGGTTTATGATGTTCCAACTTGTGTTAGCCTTGATCACGAGAAAGAATTTCGAGCCCCCCCAAAAGTACCGAAACTCAATGGCTTTCACGTGTCGGGCCCCGGGAGACACTCGCCCGACACTGCTTCGACACTGTCTCGACACTCTTCCGGGCGCTCGAGATTCTTTCTGGGACGTGGTCCTTGAGTACGATGGGAGCAACAGAACGTGAGGCTCGTTCCACGAGCCCTCCAGCTCGTTGCGCACGGGGCCCCGGAGCTCCTCCCAGGAGGAGGAGGAGGAGGAGGAGGAGGAGGAGGAGGAGGAGGAAGAGGAGGAGAAGGAGGAAGAGGAGGAGGAGGAGGAGGGAGGAGGAGGCCGTGGGCTCGCCCCGCGCGGGGCCCCCCCGAGCTCGTGCCCCACGAGCGCCGGAGCTCGCTCCTCCGGAGCCCCGCGGGCTCGCTCCGCGAGGCCCGCGGGGCGCCTGCTCCGCGCGGCCCTCCTCCTCCTCCTCCCCCTCCTCCCTCCTCCTCCTCCTCCTCCTCCTCCTCCTCCTCCATCATCCTCCTCCTCCTCCTCCCTCCTCCTCCTCCTCCTCCTCCTCCTCCTCCTCTCCTCCTCCTCCTCCTCCCTCCTCCTCCTCCTCCTCCCCCCCTCCCCTCCTCTCCTCCTCCTCCTCCTCCTACTCCTCCTCCTCCTCCTTCTCCTCCTTCTCCTTCCTCCCTCCTCCTCCTCCTCCTCTCCCCTCCTCGAGTTTCTGCCTTCTCTCCTCCTCCCTCCTCCTCCTCCTCCTCCTCCTCATCATATCGCATCAACCATCATCATCATCACATCATCATCATCATCATCATCATCATCATCATCATCATCATCATCATCATCATCATCATCATCATTCATCATCATCATCATCATCATCATCATCATCCCCTCCTCCTCCTCCTCCTCCTCCTCCTCCTCCTCCTCCTCCTCCTCCTCCTCCTCCTCCTCCTCCTCCTCCTCCTCCTCCCGCTCTCCACGGGCGCCCCGAGCTCGCTCCACCGGGGGCCCAGGGCTCGTTCCACGAGGCCCCTCCATAGGGGCAGGGCGGATCGGCGGGAGCGCGCCGATGACATCGGCATCCTGCATCCTAGAGCATCCTAGAGCACGGCCGTGCATCAACCCTGGTTCGGATCGCTGGGGATCCAGTGGCATGTGTGCACATGCGTTGCACCGTTGGTGGTGCCAAAACCATTTGTGTGAAATTCCTTTGTGTGTTTTTCTGGCTCCTAGATGTGCCGATGGGCCGACCAGACGGATAAGGCGCGCCCGAGCCGATTTTGGCGATGTGCCGACCGAGCGGAGCGGCGCGCCCGAGCCCGTATGGCAATGTGCCGAGGCAGCGAGCTGGCGCGCCGAAGCCGATGTGCCGATGCGCCGACCCAACGATTCGGCATCCCAACCCGATACGCCAATACGCCACAGCTGAAATTTGGGAGAGTCCCCAGAAACAGGCATATCGGCGTATCGGTCCCTTGGATCCGATGCGCCAGAT